TTTTCACAGCTGATATTGAGCTTCTCCAGCGGTTCCTTCCACAGATGTAGTCGATCTGATTCCTATGCATACCATCAGGTGAAGTCCATGTGTATAATCTGCTTTTGTGTCTCTTATAAAATGTATTTGCAATGACTAAGTCATTGATTTTACAAAATTCAATCATTCTATCTCCAGCTTCATTCCTGTCACATCATTTTCTAAATAGCTTGCCCCTGAAACCCAGTGAATCTGGAGAAAGGATGAAAGTTATACAAGTGTTCAGATCTTTCATTCGTAGGGTCACTATGAGTCGCCTATTACTCTATGGCCCTTAACAACATTGTATATAGTCATTTGCAGTCTAGTAGATTTCAACTTATGGCAACCCCATGTATGTACAGTGTCATCAAGGCTGTGTCTTCCCAGAAGCAGACTGCCATACCAGTCTTCCAAGATGTATGTATGAATGGATTTGAACCATCACACTTTTGCCTTGTGGTTGACTGCTTAAGCATTTGTTTCTCCCATCAACTCCTATGCTACCTACATATGTATTTTTTTTCTTTGTCACATTTTTTATATTTTTCTTTTCTTATTTTTATTATACTAGTTTATTTACAAAATTCAAATACATTGTTTTCCAGACCTACTTACATTTTTATACTTTCAAAATGCTTCAGTGGCAACATTAGAACTGAAAACTTAAGTAAATTAAAACTTATAATTTTAATGATTATCATTTTAAAAAATTAAAATTTTTTTACATATTTTTTACAAGATGCTAGACTTATGAGGGACCAGTCCTTGGAGAAGGATATCATGCTTGGAAGGGTGGAGGGACCATGTAGGAGTCAAAGACCCTGGAGCAGAGAGATTGACACAGTAACTGGGATAATGGGATTAGGTGTGTTGGAGTGAGTGAGACTAGCTCAGGATAGGGCAGGTTTCAGAGTTACTGTACATAGTGTTGCTATGAGTTGTGGGCAACTCAATGGCACATAAACAACAGCAACAGACTTAGGAACTCATATTAATTGACTGTTAATTGGTTTCAGAGTATGAATTTTCAAATGGCTGCCGAGCCCCACCTTGGAGACAGATGCTTGGGGAGATGTGTTATGTGCTGGTGAAGCCACATGATGCTGAGACTTTGTGTATCACTTGTTGTACAGAAGGAGTCTTTTTAAATGGTGTAAGTATCTTTTTTAAAAACAAGTGTCAGTTGAATTTGGACTTTACATGGTAACTAAACCAAACAAAAGATGGGGGGGGGGGAAATCCTCCAACAAAACCCCATTCTGGTTGTCACTGAGTCTTTTCAACTCATAATGACCCCATTGGATACTGAGGCACTAACTCACGGGGCTTCCTAGGCTGAAACGTTTGTGTTAGATTGACTCACTTTTTCTCATGGGGTGGCTAAGGAGTTTGAATCCCTGACCTTTTCAGTTGTCACTTATCCCTGCTCCATTAGGGCTTCTTTTAGACAGACCTTAACTGATTCTCTAGAACTATCCCTAGAATGTCTCAAAGATTATATCCATGTGCGCTTGGAGTATGAAATCCAGTCCTGTGAGGTTGGAAAAGATTTCTTTTTGTTTTTAGCATTAGCCTGCTTTATTTTGCAAAATAAAAGCTATCATTATGTTAATTTATTAATGACTGCATTTTCCCAAAAGACAACTTGGATAGTTCAAGTGTAAACACAGACCAAGAGGGGAAAGCTCTTTAAGGGAATGTGTTTCTTCCCAAATGGATCTCCAATGGAATTCATATGTAGTAAATTCTGTTTTCAAAATCAAGCTGTCAAACAAGGAAAATCTGTCACTTTCTTCCAACAGGTCCTAATTTAGACTTGATCCTTAAAAAGAATATAAGCATCAAAACAGAGCAAACTCTCAAAAGCCAATAGCCAACTCTTAAAGATAAAGAATAAATTACATATGGGGCCAGCAGACAATGGGAGCTCTGGTGGCCTAGGGGTAAGGAATTGCACTGGCAACTAAACGGTAGGTTGTTCACGTCTACCAGCTGCTCATTTGAAGAAAGGTGGACAATCAGCTCCCTTGTGATTAACTGCCTCTGAAAACCCACCGGGAGTGTCAGCTATGGGTCATTTCGAACTCAATAGTACACAACAACCAGACAGTACTGATTTGTCAATAACCTAGTAAGAGCAAAAGCTTAAAGGGCAGTACATTTGTGTCTGGCTTACCATTTTGAAACCTACCACTGTTCTAGTATAAGATAGTCATGCAATATATGTGTGTGAATACATAACAGTTCTTTATGAGTAGGTAAAACTGTATTTTTGTCAAGGTATATTTTATACATATCAATGTTGAACTCTGCAGAGAGGAAGTGGGGTCTCCATGAGATTAGACAATTTGTTAACAAGGCTAAACATGTTTGAAAGAGTGTGCTTTATACGTTTTCTTTCCACCTTCCAAGATACCTTACACTCTATTGCTCACTTCCCATCAGAGTGAAGACCCCAAACGTCTACACTATAAAATTATATTCCTTCAGAACAGGAAACCTTTCAATCTAATGTAGTACTGGAACAAAGGAAGCCCAGTGGTGCGGTGATTAAGCTCTCAGCTGTCAATCAAAAGGTCGGTGGTTTGAATCCTAACAGCTGCTCCACTGGAGAAAGCCGTGGCTTTCTGCTTCTGTGAAGTTAATTGGCCCTATGGCGCAGTTCTGATGTCTTACAGAGTTATTCTGAGTCCAATTCAATTCAGTGGCAGTGGATTTGGTTTTGGTTCTATGGAATATTGGGGGAAAGTGAAATACCACTTCTTTAAACCTAAATATGATTGGATTTATTTTAGTGTTTTAATTCTTAAAGCTATAATGTTTTGAGTAAATTAATTAAAAAAAACAGCAACTTGAAAGCGCTAAATAAATCTAGAGTATTTAAAAGTGCAAGCAACAAAATGCGTCCATCTTCTGGTATAAAGTCACATACGTTTTAGGGTGAACTTTGTGTGACGCCAGAAGTGGTGAGCTTCTTTCTGGCGCCAGTTAACCCATTAGTGGCAGGTGAATAGGACTTTCTGCTACCATGTAGTCTCCTGGGTAGCTGGGTGGAATTGGTGGAATCTTGTACCCCAACTCTGATGATGTAGGCCTTGGGGTGTTACGCTGTTAACTGAAAAGCCATACTTTTCTGGTGATTCGAATCCCCTATTTGGCTCCTGAGAAGGTTCTCTTTTTTAATTATTATTGTGATTTTAACGAAAGTTTACAGAAAAGTTGACTTTTCATTCATTCATTGTTGTATATCAGAAGATTCTCCCTTCCTTCCCACTCAGGGCTGTGCCCTTTCTCAAATCCAGACTTGCTGGGTCCTGTGGGTGGCAGCGGTGGCGGTTGCCCGGCGGTTACCCGCAGTGTTAGGGGACCCGGGTGCCTGCTCACTCTCCCCTACTTTCTGCCCTACGCAGGCGCAGCATCCTCTTTCCCCCAGGCCTCATGCTCTGTCTCTGGATGCTGCAGCATGCCCCTTTCTGTGGGCCATGGCCGCCTTGGCCCTCGCCTCTCCTATCCCTTGGTCAAGCCCCAGAGCCCTGGAGGAAGGCGTTCAGGCAGGTGGCCGGCTGCAGGGAGGCGCGTGCTCCTTTGGGGCTCCAGCCTCAACCCCCCGCTCCCCACGCTGCGGGTAACCGGCCGGGCAACCATCACATAGTTTTCTAAATTCTCCTTTTATCTTCTTTTTAGTTTCATACCTATTCATTTACTGGACCCTTTTAGAAGGGGCCACATTCAGCTTTTTCCTCTGCACTCTCCTGCCTTCAGTGTCTTCAAGGAAAACTTGGGATTCCCCAGCTAATTTTACAGGTAGAACTCAAATCCTTAATGGGGACCCAGTGATCAGGAGAATCAGCTTGTAGAGTTGTGACACCTTGGCTTGGGGTGGTATCTAAAAATGCAGGTGCCTTTGCTAGTTCCCCTGAGACATCCCTTTAATATACTTTTTTTGGTGCCTTTCTTCCTTGCGTTACACATAGGTTATTTATACAGAGTTAAGCAAATGACCTAAATGTTATTTATTTGTTTTGATATGTTATAAAAATGAACTTTTTAATTGGGATAAAGGAAAATAAAAGAAGGAATAGGTTTATTTCATCTTCTAGAGGGGAGGCAAAGAAAGCATCTGCTTCTATTAAACAAATGGTGTTTGTGTGCTATGTTTATGTATGTATTTATATGGTTTTATTTAATCTGGAAATATCGAGATATGCCAATCAGTTTTAAAAATAAAAGGCAAGAAATATAAAACTATTCAATAATTAACAACACGCCTTTTAGACATTATATATATTTGTTTTGTGTACCAGGGAGTTAGAACCAACCCATACCTGACCCTCAGGTGGATTTTCAGAGACAGTTAACTGCACTGGAGGAAACTGCCCATTCTTCTCCCTCAGAGAAGCTGGTGGATTCAAACCAGCTGCCTTTGGGATTACAGCACATCTTCTTGCCACTAGGCCTCCAGTGCTCCCTAATAATATAGACATACAACTATTATTAAAGGAGAATGACAGGGGTAGAAAGAAGAGGGGAAATGAAGACAAGACAGAAGGAAGAGGGGCAGAGGCTGAGGGGTGGTGGAGATTGTAACTCTAGAAAATAAACCCATTACAACCATGCTACATACAGAACAAGAGCACAATGTGGCAAACAGGAAGATAGGCTATTCCTGAGTGGTGTTCTAATTCTGATGCCTTTTATGACCACGTTGTTAAGACGTCTGATGTCATAAAGCATTTTCACAGTGGAGGAGTGCAGAGTCCTGTGTGCACCCAGCAGGTACCCTGTGAACCCGAAGAGAATGAATGGATGGATGGAGAGAGAACATTTGCTTAAAGAGAAACGTGTGTTTTGCTTATACATTTCATGTATGGATCACTATCTGTGGTGGTTGACACTCTTTTTTTAGTATTTGTGCTTTGGCTGTGCTATAATAATCAGTTTCTTACATTATTGCTACATTAATAACAGCATTAAACATTTTCTACCCCCCAAGGGCAAAACAGATGATGAAAGGGAACTAGATTATGAGAGAAAAAGCAATATTTATAAAGACCTTGTCACATTTTTAAGTGAAAAGTCAGCAACGTTTTCAGAAAATATGGCCAAAAAGGTAAGTTTTGTGGTTTCTCTTGTGCTTGCAAAAAATTGTACAGTTTTACGAAACCATTCTAAAATATATAGAATATAATTTAATATAAAAAAATGGAGAGTAGTTTTGCATAATTTTGGATGCTGCTTGTAAATATTATAATGTTTTTTATAATTTGAGAGCTATTGTAAATGGAGTAGTTTAAGAATTTTTCTGATTTTCTATAGGTGACATTTTAGGTAATGTTCTATAATCTTTGTTTTGGAATTGAGAGACTGAGAACAAAAAATAATCTGAGAAAAATGTTTTCATTATTTTCTATTTTTATGTTTTAACTATTTTTTCTTTTATTAAAGACAATTACTAATTAGTTCAATTGTCAACTAATGAAAGTGTTCTCCTGCATGTGAAGAACCATTTCTGAAATAATGATAGATATATAAATCAATCAGTAAAATATTTTGTGACATAAAAATGTCAGTGAAAGCTGATGATAGGACAGAAAGCAGATGCAATACTACAGTGAAATGTATAAGCTTTAATTGTGAGAGAATCGTGTTCTGGTAGCATGTTCCTTAGTGAGCTGCCTTGCTAACCTAAAGACTGCCTGCCTCTGGTGCTTCAAATGCATCATTGTCTTTAAAGGAGAAAGATAGGCAACCTCCTCCCATTTATAGCCTCTAAACCTGACAGAGGGTCCCTGTGAGTTTGTACTGATTTGAGGGTAGTAAATTTGGTTTATGACTCCTTCACAAGGTCCCACATCCAATGACTTACACTTCTTTCCTAGTGATTGTTTCTGAAATGATAGTTTGGAAATAAATTTGACTTATAAATTTGACTTCTAAAGGCTTACCCCCCCGCCCCCCCAAGACTTGTTTGTTGGGATTGTCCTCTCTTTAAGCAGCTTTCAAGACCTCCTCATATTGCTGGTACTTAAAGATTTTAATAAAAATATGGGTTTGTGAAAGCAGCCAAGGTGGCACAATGATTAAAATATTTGACTGATGTTGATTTAAAGGTTCATGGTTTGAACCTTCCCAGCCACTCGTAGGGAGAAGAATAGTGTGGTAGTTTGCTTCTGTAGCAATGTACAGCTGTGGATTCCTCACTGGGGCAGTTTTACCCTGTCTTGTAATGTTATGAGCTGAAATCATCTCCATGGCAAAGTGTATGACTTTCTGTGAAGGTTTTCGTTTGCTTGCTTTCATTAATAGTGACATCTTTTACACCTGGGGGAAAAAATCGCATTACATCTTTAATCATTTCTTGCTCTCTCTTCTTTTGAATCTCATATTAATTGGAGTTTGGATCTCTGAGACTAGTCTTCTCAATTTCTTTTTATTCATTTTATGTCTCAGTCCCTTGACTTCCTGGAGAAAAAAAATCCTCAACTTTATCTTCCAAATATTGTACATATTTTAAAAACTTAAGCGTGTAGGTTTTGGTTTTGAATGTTTACTTTTGCCAAATTTAAATGTGTACAGATTTGTTCTTACACTGTCTTTTGTCATTGTTGCTAGATTAGTAGGTGCTATCTGAGAATATCTCTATTTTCTCTTTATATCGAAAGGATTATTTTTTTAAATAGGGCTGTAGTATTTCAATTAACAATTATTAACCTTTAGCATTTTATCTATATCTATATATCTCTATCTCTATATATTTATCAAATATTAACATCACTATTATTTTAACTGTATTGTAAGAAAAATATTTGTACATTTGTCTATTTTTCCTCTTGTCAGGTTTTGTTTCATGTATTTTGAAGTGTTGTTTGTGTCATACACATTTAAAATTCTGTACTAAATGACTTTGTCATTATGTATGCTCCTGTTTATCCCTAATAATATTCTTTGTTTTGAATTTTATCTCATCTGATTTTAATATAAACTTAAAGCTGTCAAGTTGATAATGACTTTTAGAGACCCTCTGCTGGGTTTCCAAACTATAAATCTTTATTGTTGTTGTGTACTGTCGAGTCAGAATCCACCCATAGCTGACACTCCTGTAGGTTTTGAGAGGCAGTTAATCACATGGGAGGAGATTGCCCATCTTTCTTCCCCAGAATGGTTTGTGGGATTCGAACCCCATGCCTTCAGGATTGCAGCACAGCTTCTTGCTGCTAGGCCACCAGAACTCCCATAAATCTTTATAAGGAGACTATTTTTCTTTCTCCAGAGGAGCACTGGTGCACATGGTGTTTCCTGGTTAATATAGAGCCTAATTTTTTTTAGTGTGTCAGGTGTGAGTTGTTATGCAGCCTCCACTCAACTATCACTTACAGCTACTGTAAGAACAATAGATCTGAACCTTTCCTTAGCCTGCACCATCCTTTCGTTCTATGTCAGGTTCCAGCCCATTATTATGATGACATTATTGCTCAGGCAGTCAAGCTTGTTGAGGGTCTTCCTCTCTTTCTCTGACCCTCCACCTTTCCCAGCATGCTGTCTTTTCCAAGGATTAGACCCATTTTGGTAATATGCCCATGCTACGTGAGATGAAGTAGTGCATCAAGTTTCTGTTCACCTCAGCTGAACTCATTGCCTTTGAGTTGGAATAGACTCATCACTGACCCTCCAGTGGGTTTTTAGAGGCTGTAAATCACACAGGAGGAGATTGTCCCTCTTTCTCTAGCAAAGTCTACCTCAAATAGAGACCTTGGTTATTAAGTTAGCCTTCTTTAACTTAGGTGTCACTAAATGGCACATTTTTAACTTGCTTCTGAGACTTCTCCAAATTTATCATCAGCATTAATTTCTGAACTCATCAGATAATTTGAAAGTGATACAATTTCATATCTAAGAAGTTTTAAAATGATTTAAAATTTTTTTATAAAGGAAAATAAATTTGATGAACAACAGAAAAAACATCTTCAGCAAGATGAAGCACCTAAGAAAGAACAAACCGTCTCTAAGTTTGACTCCGCAAAGAGTGCACTTGATCAAATTAATTTTGTGAGGAGCCCAATCAGGAAGAGATTACAGCCAAGTTTAAATTGGAGGAGTACTGTTGATTCAAAAGAGTATGTAACCATTTGCTTAATGAGTTTTCTCATATGTCTTTAAATCTCTTATAAGCATATACTTGCCTAATTATTGACATAATTTATTCTATGGTAGAAAAATATTGAATAGATATTCATAACTCTCTGTACAGTACAAGTTGACTCTTTATGTATATCTTTGTATTCCAAATGGAAAGATATGACATCAACATCAAAGTTATGTTTGGGGCACTGTGAAGTGACAGTAAGAATAGAACTCATTTCCATGTATTGGTCAGCACTACCATATGGAAAACTGCCAACTCAAAGGCTGGAAAGCTGCCAACTTAAAGGCATGCAGTGTCTGAGAGCTCTGGTGACCTAATGATATGAAGCTTCAATGCAAGCTCAAAGGCATGTGGTTTGAAACTACTAGCTGCTCCATGGGAGAAAGCTAGGTTGTTGGGCTATTTACTCTCTCTGAAAACCCACTAGAGGAACAGCTATGGGTAAATTCTGTCTCAGTGGCAAACAACAGCATGTGGAAAAGATGATAAAATGTGTGAGGAATCACACGTGATACAAGATGAATGGTAGGACCCTGGTTAAAGAAGTGCTGGGGAATTTGACACTTTAAAAGTTATGTGAAGTTAATAAAAAAAAATTCTTCATAAAGTTGGTATTATTTCCATTAAGTAAATTATACATAAGTCCTATCTATAGAAAACTTTACATAAGCAATTTTATTTGTTATGTATTGTTGAGTTGGAACCAACTCATAGCTGATCCATCAGCAAGTTTCCTGAGGCAGTAAATCACATGGAAGGAGACTGCCCATCTTTGTTCCACAGAGCAGCTGGTGGAATCAAACTGTGTGTCTTTGAGTTGGCAACACAACTCCTTACCACTAAGCCACCAGAACTCCCTGTGACAGGGATGCTCAAAAACATTAACAAACTCAAGAAGACATTGGTTTGATAAATGTTCTAAATAAGGAAAATTAATAAGTGTCAAAGCAAAGAGTAAGGACCAATGATTTAAGTAATGCTTAAATGCTTAGATCTAAATACTTAAATATATGTATCAAACAGTGGATTTAAGAAATTTAGTACACAGCTTACAAGTTTCAGTCTATTTTTTTGTTCCATGCTCAACAGCAATTTTTAGAGTATCTAGTAACGTCGTTTTTGGTCTTTTGTCTTTTTACATAACCGTTAGCTTTCTTCATGTATGACAACATGATGTTATCCCATAGTTTGTCTGGCCTTCTAGTCAGTAGGGTATAGTGGGACAAACCTATTCTTGAGAAAGTCATTAAATTCAGGTAGGACTTGCTTAAGGTAATGCCTGACTGTCATGGACTTATTTTAACTTTCTTCAGTTTCAACTTAAACTTTCCTGTGATCAATTAATAGCCTGTTCTGTAGTCATCCTTTAGTCTTGTTCTCAACAATTTTATTGATTGCATCTTTCCACAGATGTAATATATACTATTTTTGTCTAGTTTACTGGGTAAACTCCATGTGTACAGTCATCATTTATGTTAATGAAAAAATTATTTACCATGAACAGTCTTGAAAAATTCCATTATTCAGTTTTTAGAATTGTTTTATCATCAAGGTCATATTTTCCAACTCCTGATCCTTCTTTGTTTCCAACTTTGCATTCCAATCACCAGTAATTATCAGTGATAATGATTTTGATCACTGATCAATTTAAAACTGTAAACATTGGTCAAAATCTTCACCTTATTCACCTTTGGCACTGGGAGTTGAATATAAATTTGAATAATAGTCATTTATTAAATAGTCTTCTTTGTAGATATTATAATTTTGCTGACAGTGTTACATTTCAAGATTTTAGAATGTTTTTCAGGAATAAATGGGATAACATTCTTCAATTTGTCATTTTTCAAAATATTGATTGTCAAATTTATAAAGGCCAATATCAGTTTATTTTTCCTCAGTAAAGCCTAGGATATTGATCTTCAAGCATTACATTGTTGTTGGTATTTTTTGACAACTTATTTTTTAGATTGATATTTTGTACATTCTACATTTTGATCATTATTGGATGTTTGCAGTTGTTTCTTTTTATTTTAATTCATGCCACATCAGCACATCAAGGCCTATCTATTTACTCTATTAAAATAGAGTTACTGGTCTATTTATTAAGACCAATTCTACTTTAAGGAGACAGCTTCTCCGCAGTGGTTTTTAAATCACCTTCCATCCTAAGAAGCTCATTTTCTGGCATTGATTATTAGATAATATTCTTCTTCCATTAATAAAGTTTATATTGGAAAAAAATTAAAAAGGCAGACCATTCTTCCTGGTCTATCTTAGTCTGAAAATGAAAAGATTTGAGGAGACTTCAAAAAGAGACTTAAGACAATCAAATGAGCTATTATAATGAAGATGTAGAGTTAGAAAACCAAATTAGAAGATCCCATGTGCTATTTCTTAAGCTGAAATAACGGAAGGGGGGAAATCAACTTACAACTTCCAATATTGAATTATTCTAAGATATTGAACAATGCATGAATCATCAAAAGAAGATGGAAGGAATATCCAATCACTGAACAACAACAAAAATTAGTTGACGTTCAACTGTTTTAGGAGGTACAGCATGATCAAGAATCAATGATTTTGAAAAATATCCGAGTAGTGTTGATTTAAAAAGCCCCAAGATTTCAGAAATACCAGTTAAAATCTTTCAACCAATATATAAAATATTGAAAGTGCTCACTTGGTGTGACTAAATATAGAATATAATTTACTTGGCCGACTGATTGGAAGAGATCGATATATGTGCCCGTTTCAAGGGCAAATGATTCAAAAGGATAAATTATAGAATAATATCAAGTGCAAGTAAAAAGATAATTTGGAAATAGTTAAAATATACATTGACTTAGAACTGCCAGAAATTCAAGCTGAATCCAGAAGAGGATGTGGAGTAAGGGTTGATTAACTGCTGTGAGGCATTGCTGAGAATCTGTTGATTCAGACGGTTCTCAGGTGGAAATAGAGAATGTCCATCAGAGTTGTATTTAAAGTCATACTGGCTTTGATCGATAAAGGAGTTGTGGCGATGCTGTCTAGAGTCGCACTGCTAACCGAAAGGCAGCACCTCTCTGGCAGTTCAAATGTACCAGCAGCTCCAAGGGAGAAAGAGAAACAATCTCCTCCCATGAATTTACAGTGTTCTGAAAAGACCTTGGGAGGTCAGCTATCTATTCTGACTCAATAGAAATGTGGGGAGGTTTTCTGACATTCAATCTGCATCTTAAGAAAATCACCTGAGAAACTGAACTCTATGAAGAATATGATGTTAAGATTAGAGGAGGACTTGTTACCTGCAGATGATACAACCTTCCTTCCTGAAAGTAAAGAGAATCTGAAACACTGGTTAAAAAAAAATCAAAGATTATAGTTATTACATAAATAAACCTATATATGTGTGTATATATACATATACACACATATATACATATATACACATGTACATACACACACACACACATATATATATATAATATATATATATACAACATGGTTGACTGTACGAGGAATGTGGCATCAGGATTGGTGGAAGTTTCATCAATAACCTACATTATGCAGATGACACAGTCCTACTTGCTGAAACTGAGGAAGACCTGAAACGCTTGCTGCAGAAGGTCAAGGATTACAGCCTTCAATACAGATTGAAGCTCAACATCAAGAAAACAAAGATTCTCATCACTGGGCCAAATGGCAGCATCATTATGAATGGTGAAGAGATTGAGATAGTTAACAGTTTTAGTTTGCTTGGCTCTACAGTTAACACTCTCGGTAACAGCAGCCAGGAAATCAAGAGACTAATTACATTGAGAAAATCAGCTGTGAGGGACCTCTCCACAGTACTGAAGAGCAACGACGTCAGGCTGGAGACTAAGGTGTGCCTGATCTGGGCCACAGTCTTTGCATTTGCGTGCTATGCATTGGAGAGCTGGATGATAGAAAGATAATTGATGCCTTCAAACTGTGTTGCTGGAGAAGAATGTTGAATATACCATGGACTCCTAGGAGAACAAACAGGTTTGTCCTGGAGAGGGTGAAATCAGGATGCTTCTTGGAGGCAAGGATTCTGAAGCTTCGTCTGATATACTTTGGACATGCTGCAAGGAGGGATCAGTCCTTGGAGAGAGACATATCATGTTTGGGAGAGTGGAGGGACAGAGCAGGAGAGGAAGACTCTCAATGAGATGGTTTGGTTTGGTGATTGGGGCAATGGGAGTAGGTGTGTTGGCACAGCCTAGAGCAGGGTTTAGGGCTCTTGCACATAGGGTCACTATAAGTCACAAGCACTTCAACGGCACATAACAGCAGCAATATACAATATAAATAAAAATTCTTTATGACTGGATTAATAATGAACATCATGAGAAAGGGATCAAAGATTGAAGGATTTAATTTTACTTGCATTAACAATCAACACCCATGAAAGATGTCATACAATAGCCTCAAACATTGTTAGGTGCCCTGAGTTAATACAGTTAATAGTCCCAATAGTAACCCAAAGAACACAGAGCTGAGCCTTGCCCTATCTGTGTCATCATCATGATCTCCACTTTGTCCAAGCCCATTGCTGCAGTCACTGGGCCAATGTAGCAGCCAAGAAATCAAAGGGCATATAGCATTGACACAGAGACTGCAAAGTGTTGAACGCCTGTGTAGGTGCTTAGAGAATTGTTGTTGTTGTCAAGCGCCATCAAGTCTTAGATGACTCATAGCGACCCTATGAACAAAAGACCTCAATGCTTGTATAACTTTCATCATTTCTCCAAGTTCATCGAGTTTCCAGAGGTAAGCCATTTTGGAAGTGGATACCACTCCTGCTTCCAAGCCTGTTTTAATCAGGGAGTTCCACCAAACACTGTCCACCATGGGCAACCATTATCACATTGGGCACATCAGTGTCACAGTGTTTAGCATCACAGCAACCAGAGTTACCTCTGTACAGCAAATGGACAGACCCGCAGGCCCGCCCATGCTTCAGGTTCTCATTGAAACGATACCTAAGCCAAACTATGGTATTTTCAATTTCCCCAAACACTGGGCAATGATGTTGGTGATGAGGGAGGAACTCATTATCTTAGGTGGAGGAAGTGTTGACGTCTCAGGCTCTTGCTGCTCATTAAGTGGGGAAGAACATTTTCTACCCCACAGCATATCTTTGTGTGGAAAGTCATGCACTTGGAGGAAACAATCCTCAAGCTAGTGGCTCATACCACTTCAAGATCCCAATTTCTCAATGAAGAGTTTTAATAAGTAATGTAACTCACCTCAGCAGGAACAATTAAACCCTCAAAGCACAAGAAAGCATGTTAACCACCCGACAGAGAGATCCTAGAACCACCCTAAAGACATTCTTTTATATGTTAAGAGGTTTTAAAGAATTGTTAAAGTTTTTATGTTTCCAAGCTGAACAACTAAAACCAGATGGTTTGTTTTCATTAAATTTCTAACTAGGAATACATTATTTGGGTGCATAAAAATGATAGACTATATCCATACCTATCCAACTTTCATTTCACACTCATCAACATAGAGTAATTTCTTAGTGTTCATAATAAAATACCACAAAGTGAGTAATTTGAAAAACAAAAACCAGCTTCATCACCCTGGAAGGTAAATGGTTTAGGATTAGGACATCCCCAGGGCTCCTTAGGGAAAGATCATTCCTTATCTTTTTCAAATGCCGGCTTGAAAATAGGCCCTCACATTCTGTCTTTCCCATATGTAACTCTAATTCCTTGTGATTTCTTTTTTATAAAATATCACTCAGAAGATATTATTAGGATTAGGAACCATTTTACTTCTTAACTTTAATTTAGTTGATAACAACTACAACAAAACCATTTCCATAAAAGACTTAAAAATATCTTTTTTTGGGGGGAGGGGCACTGTTCATCACAATAGTAAATCAAATGAATATGTCTTTTAGGAGTAAAAATTCAGTAAGAGACGTCCCAGGGGAAACACTTGCAGCAAGACTTGAAAAGACAAGGCCATCTCTTATACCTGGACGAGGACCAGTAATTCGGTATGTTTCTGTTAACATAACTAATTGTTTAAAGACAGCCTTTAATATACAGTGGACCAGTAAAGTCACTAATTAATGCTCTTAAATAGTCCATCAGAGCCATAGGATACTTATATTGACAAGTTATTAAGAATGTTAGAGAAAAAAAATCCACTGGATTTCTTTATATCTACTTAATGAAGTATTCTAATTGAAAGACAAGATTTTATAGTATTAATTAACAATGGACAGTCTCTTCCCATTGGGATTTATGGCCTCAGAAACCTGATGGAGGGTCATTATGAGTCTGAACAGACTCTTTGGCATTGAGTGAGTGAGTGAACTATGAGGAATCCTGATGACACAGTGGTTAAGTGCTCCACTGTTAACCAAAACGTCTGCAGTGTGAACCCACTATCAGCTCCACGGAAGAAAGGCATGGCGGTCTACTTTTGTAAAGAGCAGAGCTTTGGAAACCCTATGAGGCAGTCTGCTCTGTCCTCTCGGGTTACAATGATGTGCAGTCATCTCACTGGCAGTGAGTACAGGGAGTTAAACTATGAAAAGGGAAGTAGATTTGATGCAAAGGGCAGTGAACGAAGTCTTAGGAAACTGGGCTCATGTGGATCATTTGTCTCTGAGCATTCAGATCATGGAAAAGCTGTGTCCTCTGGATGAGCTTGACTTTCTTCATCACTGACGGCCAAGTCAATTCTAAAGAGAGCTGATTTGTAAAAAAAATTAAAATTATCAGCTGTTAGTATGAGGCCAACTGACAGGCCTGTCTGATTTTAAGCATGACAACAAAGGCAACATATTTGGAATACAGGGCCAGCCACTTTTATTTGACAGTTCCAGAGGGGTAGTGGGAGGAAATGTCAGAGATTTCACATTGTTAAAGCTTTTTGGTGGTTCGGTTAGAAGAATTAATGCCTTCTGTGTGGAAGATCTGGGTTCAATTCCTCGCCATGCTCCTCAAGTACAACCACCATCTATCAGTGGAGCCTTAGGTATTTCTAAAATACTCAACAAATTTCAGCAGAGCTTCTGTTTTTTGGAGTTTGCTGTCATATTGTTTGTGATTTTCTACACAAATCATGATGTTGTCTGCAAGAAAGGAAAGCTGTAATTCATTATTTTGATCTGTGTTTCTATTTCTTGTTCTTGCTCTGTTGTTTTCCCTAAAAAGGTCTAATAGTGAATAGCTGTGGTCAAAGTACCCAGTCTTCCTTATTCTGTACGAAAGCGAGAAAAGAATTAGAGTTGGGATTTTTTCCCCACCATTAAACATGCTGCTAAGTATAGATTTTGTACATGCTCTTAAGTTGAGAAAGCATTCTATTCTTTTCTAAGTATTCCTTTTCAAAATCATGAATAAGGGTCATCAAATGCTTTTTCCAATTATCAATTGATGTGGTTATGTAATTTTTTTCTTCAAGTTTATTCATGTGGTAGATTATGCTGATTTTCAAACACTGAACTAGCCTTTTATTCCTAGAAGAACTTCGCTTTGTGTGGTATAGAATTTTTTTCTATCTGCAGCTCAATTTGGTGTGCAAATACTTTATGAAAATATTTTTTCTATTTGTAGTTAGGAGAATTTTGTTCTTGCAATTTGTCACTTTTATATCAAGCTATATAAAATAAGTTAGAAAATATTCTCTTGTATTTTTGTAGACAAGACTGTGTAGAATTAGTGTTAGTTCTTTAAACATTTATTAAAATTCTCTAGTGAAACCATCTGAGCCTACAGGTATCTTTCTGGTAGTGTTTAAATTATGAATTACATTTAACTAATAGCTGCAGCACTAAACAAATCATGTACTTCCTATTGGGTGAGAAGTGGTAGTTTGTACTTTTGAAGAAATAGGCTTGTTTCATCTACATTGTGAAATTTGTGTAAATTGTTGTCCATAGTATTTACTTAGATGTTTTCAGGATCTGTAGAATAGCTCTTGTTTTATTCTTGACATTGATGATTTCTGTATTTTTCCTTTTTGTCAGTCTTGATGAAGGTTTTTCAGTTTTACTGATCTTTTCAGGACATGGGGATTTGTTTTACTGATTTTTCAAGTTATAGTTTGGTTTTCAATTGCTTTCTCTTTTGCTATCCCTTCTAACAGAAGCCTTTTCCTGTCGCATTCCCATACTGTAAGGCAATATGCTTTCTTACATCCTGTACACTGAGTTGCTTCTCTCCCCTTCCTTACATTTATTGAACCTCTTCCATGAGTATAATAATTCTTTTATAGTTGTTTTTCCCCCCCTTGAAGCCATACCTTACTAGCAAAACAAACTCCACTGCTACTGAGTTTATTTCAACTCGTAGCCCTCCTACAGGGCAGGGTAGAAAGGTCCCATTGAGTTTCCAAGGCTGTAATCTTCATCAAGCCAGAAGCTCATACCTTTCTCCCATGGAAGACCCGACAGGTTCAAACTGCTGGCCTGCTTAATTAGAACCTAGCACTTTAACCATTGTGCTACCAGGACTCCTGGCTTCACTCTAGGGCCATTGAAAGCTTTCTTCTGTCATATAAGATCAAGAAAAAGTGGGAAACAATAGCAAGAGAAAGGCATTGAGTTAACTATCTTCTCACATGTAAATGATGGCTGGATGGTCTTGAAATATCGTTCTGGGTGTGGTGACCTAACAAGTGGAAGACATGTATCCAGGGAACCAGCTGGTGTAATGAACGTGCCAGATGGAGATCTGCAGGGGTATTTAGGCTAATTTAGATGCTACTGGACCATGACTGTTACCATTACTAGTGATTAATCCAAGGTTTTCTGATAATGTTGTCTATGCTGCAGACTGCTGGCTGTGGAATCCATGTCTATGACACTCAGCTTTTAGTACACTCATGTCCCCAGAAGTTAAGAGTTTACTTCTTGATCCTGGTCCTGGCCGCTGATGCTCTTTGGCATCTTGTGACCTTCCCAGTATTTTAATTTGGGCATCATGAGGAGAGAGGTGCTGGTGATTGATTGATTCTTTTTGGAAAGGAGATTCTTTCATTTTTAGATCATTTGCAGTGAGCAATAAAACTTTCTGCAGTAATAAAAAGAGTCAAGATTGGTTTGGTGGCCACATGTGAGTGTTGAGCAAATGAAAGGCAACAGGATGCCGAACAAGCTGACTTCTTCATTTTATATTTAAACAAGATTAAATAGCTCAATATAAACAGGCACCCGGGGCCAGTAACTACTTTGCTCTATAGAGCATTTGCTTCATTCCTTTGTTCATATTTCAATCTCTTATTTATTATTATTAACCCTCACCTGCTCTAGAGATGTTGAGCACATGTATCACTTCACGTAGATGCTAACACAGATCTACAGTTCAGGAGGTATTGTGATCTTATCTGTTTCTATTATCATTATAAAATTGCTATAATGTTGCTTATATATATGTATGTGTGTTGTTATTGTTCTTAGTAAAGTCCTTGAACGGCCTGAGGATATTGTTAGTGAGAGTTCCTCAGAGAGTGAGGAAGATGAAGAACCACCTGACCATCTTCTGGAAGCAAATGCTGATTTGCCATCAGAATATTGGCAAATTCAGAAGCTGGTGAAATATTTAAAGGTAAGAAAGACTTTGTGTACTGTATTTTCAAGGTAAATTTTAAACAATTGCGAAATATGTATAGTCTACTTCCAAGTTTGTAGTATATTTATTTCCAATCAGGGTAGTAATCATCTCTGCTACTACAGAGAGTGTACACAGAGGGAAGTCTCATTGCCCTAAGGCTCCTGAGGTTAGTCCTCATGGAGTAGGCAGGATGCCCAGCACCAGCCCTCGGCCCTGGCTGGGGAGAGGAGAGCTAGGCAATGGCAGTCATTGCAGCTACATTGCCCTCTCCTCCACTTGGACTTGATAGTCCTGTGCAAAAGATAGTCCCACCAGTTGCAACTCATTACAGTCAATATTATTCTATAGAAAGCATGACTAAGATAATACACTCCGTGGATTAGATTCTTTCAGCTTGGTCTCTCATGCACATCAAGCCTATTTGCAGGGTGAAACTAGACTTAACAAATTTTGAAACAGATTTACTCCATTAATAGTTTTAACTCGTTTTATACTTAAAGAGATTAGAATATAAGCAAAAGAGATTTTTTATTATTAATTTTTTTATTTCTTTTTTTTATATTTTACTGATTTACCTACAAAATTTGTATTCATTGCCCCTCACACCAGATCCCCCCACCTCCCCAACCCACCCACCCATCCATCAAACCATGTGACCCTGTGAGTACCCTTTCACCTATCCCCTCCCCTTATATCCTTCTACCCCTTAGATCCTTACACACATTTTACTAGTTATCTATTTCTACAATAATGGTCTTATACAGTATTTGTCCTCATGAGACTGAGTTAGTTCACTTAGCATAATGCTCTCCAGTCCCTCCCAAGTTAGGTAGTGATTTACAAAATCATTGCTCCTGTGTGCTGCATAGTATTCCATCATGTGAATGTACCATAGTTTCTCAATCTATTCTATTGTGGTTGGACATTTGGGCTATTTCCATGTTCTTGCAATGGTGAATAATGCTGCTATGAACACTGTTGTATAAGTCTCTATATTTGCCTCAGTTCTCATTCTCTTGGGGTATATTCCAAGCACTGAAATAGCTGGGTCTTATAGAATTTCTATGTTCAGCTTTCTGAGGAAATGCCAAATGCCTTCCAGAGTGGTGGTACCATTTTACAATCCTACCATTAGTTTATAAGATTTCCTATCTTGCCACATCCTCTGCAACATATATCACTTTCTGTCCTGTTAAACTTTACCACAGCTACAGGAGTGAGATGGTATCTCCTTGTGGTTTTAATTTGCATCTCTCTTATTGCCTGTGATTTTGAGCATTTCTTCATGTGTTTGTTGGCCATCTGAGTATCTTCCTCTGTGAACTGGGATCAAGCTTAGACAGCTTAATCTATGGCATAAAGAGATTGACAAATATAGCCAGAAATGCACAGTATGGAGAGGATAAAATTGATGAATGGGATTTTCTATAGATTACATCGCTGTGAGCATCAAAAACTATTTCCAACAGAATGAAAAGAAAATTTACTAACGGTGAAAAAACATTTACAATACCATCTCAGATAAGGGTCTCATATCAAAAGTGTACAGAATCCTACAGGGCTTCCACAAGCAAAAGCAAAAAAACTGATCACACAATTACAAAATGGGCAAAAGAAATTTATTTATAGTGGAAATGTGAGACATATTTCTGTGATGGTGTATACCATAGCCAAATGTAAGCATAAAATTTTGCATATTTCTGACTTCAAAAGTTTATACATTTTCCCATAAAAGAAATTATAATATGGTGGCAAGTCACAAAAATATGGCATTGCAATTTTACTAAGGGAGTTTAAGGGTAAGGAGTTGCACTGTCAACCCAAAGACACGTAGTTCAAATCTACTAGGCACTCCAAAGGCGAAGGATGGGCAGTCTCCTTCCATGTGATTTACTGCCTCTGAAAACTCGGTGGAGAGTCAATTTTAAGTTGCAGGCTAAGTAGGCTGACAATTCCATCCATAGAAAAAATTCCCAGAATTTCTCAAATAATTTATGTGCTTTCCTAAATTCCAAATCAGAACCAAATTAGTCAACATTTTGTGAAAAGGTGTTAAAATTCTCCTTAGAGAACTGATGTTTAATAGTAAACCTAGAGACAAGATTGACTTGAAGAAATCCACTGATGCTATGGAAAGCAAGACCCAGAAACCTTAAAACATTTAGAGACAGATAGGAAAGAAGTGGTGATAATTAAGTCAATAGCCAGTCTTGCTTACAGCTTCTTGCATGTTTTACGTGTGTGTCTGTGGCTTTGTTTGCTTTTAAAAGTAAGACATCATTGCAATAATAAATATTGATAGGCTTATATGTATAGCATATTTTATACAAACTATATTGTTAGCGTCCACTGACTTGACCACGCTCTTAGCAACTTCTGAACAATGGATCTGAACCTTGTCCTATGCTGTACCATCCTCACAATCTCCACCAAGCTCAAGCCCATTGTTATGGTCACTATGTCAGTCTATCTTGTTAGGGTAAGTCCTTTCTTTTGCTGACCCTAAGCATTTTTTTCTTCTCCAAAGTTTGGTACCTTTTAATGACATATTCAAATTATGTGAGACTTATGATTTATCATCTTTGCAGTTCTTCCAAGACAAATTTGTTCTTTCAGCAGACCACGCAGCATTCTTTTCCAACACCACAATTTAAAGGCATCGAGTCTTTGGTCTTCCTTATTGTTCAACCTTCACATGCACAAATCGAAAGGGCCGAACTTGCTCAGCGTTTCTTTTTTTTTTTTCCCTTTTTTTTAAATTTAGGTTGTTTATTTTTCATTTCAATGAACATCTACAGAGATTTTGGGATTCCATTCATTCATTTTTGCACCCTTCTCCCCG